CCGCCGCGACCCAGTGACGGTCCCGCGCAACCCAGCCCATGCCCCGACTGCGCCGACGGGCGGGCGGCGCGGCCAATGGGAGGGGCCGGCGGCCCGCGCGCCCGCGGCGGGGGCGGGACTAGCGGCGGCGCGGGGCGGGGCGACGCGCGGGCGGGGCGGGGCGCGGCGCGGCGGGCGCGCCCGCGGGTTAGGTTGCGCCGACGTGGGAAGGGGGACGCGCAGCCGGGAGCCGGGCGGGGCCGCCCGGGATTGTGGGAATGTGGCGGACTCGGCGGGCCGGCTCGGCGGCGCTCGGCTCCGCTCGGCCCCGCTCGGGTCCCTCGGCCCAGGGCCGAGAGGTGTGGACCCCGCCGCGGCAGTAGCCGGACTGGGGCACCTCGCGCTTCCCTCCCCCGGGAGGCGCTGGGGCATCAGCCCTCAAGGTCTCTGGGGAGGCGCCCTGGCATGGCCAGGCCGGAAATGAACCTTCCTCTTGTCCGTTAAGCATTAAGGGAACGCCTCCTGTATACCGGGCCGGAGTCCAGCATTAATGCAGCACCTGCTATATACCAGCTGTGGCCCAGGCGTTAAGGAGTGAACTACCAGACACGGCAAAAGCCTTAGGGAGTGCCTACTGTAAACCCTGCATGGCCCAGGCATTGGTGCAGTGCCTGCTGTATTCCAGGCAGGGAACAAGCATTAATGAGGTGCCTACTTTATACCAAGCCCCGCTTTAAGCCCTTTAAACCAACCCTACTACCCGGCTGATTTTATTGGAACGTCGCCAAGCCCTTCCCTGTGCACACGGAGCCCGAGGCTTTCACCCGGTACCCGCCCAATCATGCGGTTTCAACAGCCCTAAACCACTTGCCATCTGGCCTCGCACAGAAAGCGACCTAGAGCAAGGTTCAGACACAGAGAAGGTGCTCAATCAATGCGTTTTGAATGATGGAAAGAGAATTAGAGAGCCTGCAGGGTTCCTAGGACAGCAAACCCATTCTATAGACGAGGAAGCTGAGGCTCCCCTGGGCACTGTTCTCTGCTATGGCCCTTCTACCAGCCCTGACCCCCCCCCCCCAACCTGGCCGTGCCAGACCCCATCACACACCTTCCGGGCTGCACCTGCTGTTCTTGCCTATCTTGAGATAAGAGGTGAGAGGAGGGTCAAAGTCTCCATTTATTAGTTGAGTGGTGGTGCGGGGAGATTTGCTCCTTGAAGCTTCCATCTCTGGGGCTTGCATCTGCCCCTTGCTGGACACACAGCCAGGGCACGGAGGTGGGGGCGTGGGGCTCCCCCCACAGACAGAAGCTCCACGTGTTGAGGGCCGTTCCTAGTGACCAGCAGACCATGAGCTCCGAGAGGGCAGCGACTGTGGGGGTCCAGGTCACGAAGGGGTCCTCTGCCCCTCTGCAGTGACACTCCTGAGCACCAGGTCCTAGATGGAGGGGGGCAAGCAGAGCCCCTCACCCCTCGTGCAAGTCCCACACATGCAGGGGACTTTGTCCACCTCGTTCTCTGCGGTGTCCCCGGCCCTAACACGGCACCTGGCAAATACTCCGTATCTGTGCTCTGTAAACATTTCTGAAGCCAGAGAAGGGGCCCAGCTGTCTTGCATGCTTCTCCTCTTTCTCTGGAAAAGAAGAAATCACTGTACTTTCTTCCCTGCTGTGCTCCTGGTCTTGCTGCTGTCGGCCTCCTCCTCGCCCAGGGCCTAAACCTCACCACGGACTCCTTTTGCCGCTTACAGTGGGTCAGTCTGTAGGTGGCCGGCTTACCTTCCCCGGGCCTGTGTCCCCACCTGCCAAGCGGGGCATAATATTAGCTCTTGCTGAGAGAGCCACGGTAAATAACCAAGGAGGAGATACTTGAGTAGTAGAAGTTTAATGTTTGCTTCAACACATCAGTCCTAAGGGATGGTGGTAGAAAACCTCTAGAATGACCCGCAGGGAGACCTGCTTCCTGGTATTCATGGCCAACCCCTCTCCCCGCCACCCACCCAGCTAGGATGTGGATTGAATGTAGTGATTTACTTCTGATACAGACTATGAAAGATGACACTTCAACGATTGGGTGACCAACTATTTCTGGGTTCCGGGGGCGCCTGGGGGGCTCTGTCGGTGAAGCGTTTGCCTTTGGCTCAGGTCATGATCACAGGGTCCTGGGATCGAGCCCCGCATCGGGCTCCCTGCTCAGTGGGGACTCTGCTTCTCCCTCTGCCTGCCGCTCCCCCTGCTGGTACACTCTCTCTCTCCCTCTATCAAATAAATAAGTAAAAATAAAATCTTGAAATTAAAAAAATAAAACAAAATTCTGGAAAAATGTGGATTTCACTACGGAAATCCACACTGACTAAAAGTAGGTTTCTGGTTGCCTGGGGATGGGAGTGGGGACGGGCAGGGGCACAAGGGAATGTTCTGGGGTGATGCAAGTGTTTTCCCTGTTTTGACTATGCCAGTGGTGGCACGGGAGTCGACACAGGACGGAACCCCACTGACGGTGGCTCTTACACATGGGCAAATCACTGCATGTCAGTTACACATTTATAAACCTGCAGAAACAAGAAATGTCCGAAAAGGTGGTACTTGGAGAGTACACAGTAGGTGCTTAATCGATGCTTACGTGTTTACCAGAATCCCGAGGCAGGAGCAGGCAGAGTCGGGGCCACAGCCCCATGCCCAACATGGCCAGGGAGAGCTGTTGCATTTTCATCCACGCCACCCTCTCCCGCCTCAGCTCTGCCCTGGACTCTGGGAGGAGGAAGTGGGAGAGGTGGCAGGGAGCAGATCCACGGGGGTTGGGGGGGCTTGAGGGGCTGGGGGGTGTCTTGTCCTTCTCATCCATTTGCTGCGTGCCTACCACGGGGCCGGGAGCTGGGCAGGCACCAGGAAGGCCCCGATGGGTAAGATACGGAAACCGAGGTCTTCGGAGAGATGGTGAACGGGCCCCCGGGGCCCAGCCAGTTGCTAAACGCTGACTTTGCCTTCCCCACCCAGAGGCCCAGGGAGACAAAGTCCGTGGCTGCCACACCTTGATGGCTGGGAGGCCCTGCCTTCCTGGCTCCCTGCAGCCTCCTGGCCTCCTCTGTCCTTGGAAGTTGGCCTCCCATGCCTTGAGGAGTTCAATTTTATGGGGAGCAGGCCGTCTCCTGGCACAGAGCAAAGGTGAGGGGGCCCAGGCGGGGGCAGGCAGTTTGCCGGGGCCCCTCAGGGTCACTGTGCCAGCCCTGGGATTGGGCGACAGGTGTCCCCACACCCCAGTGCCTGACCTTCTCCAGGGCTCGATGCTGACTTTCTATGAAAGAAATCATCCGGATCACGTGGACACTTGGTATCTGAGGAGCCTGCCGGAGCCTCGTATCCTTGTCCTGCCGTGCCCTCGGCAACGTCCCCAACCCACTATCATGGAGACTACTGGTTTGTTTACTTTTTCTTTTCTTTTTTTTTCCCCCCAAAGATAATGCCTGAAATAAAGACTGAACTAAAGACCGAGGGGCGCTGCGTCTGTGTGGTGCTCCCAGCACACAACCCTGGGCCGGGTCCGTCCGAGGCACACAGGGCACCTGCACAGCTCCGTAAACCTGAGTTTGTGCTCTTTAACAAAGAAAGACATTCAGGGGCGCCTGGGGGGCTCAGTGGGTTAAGCCTCTGCCTTCGGCTCAGGTCATGATCCCAAGGTCCTGGGATCGAGCCCTGCATCGGGCTCTCTGCTCAGTGGGGAGCCTGCTTCCTCCTCTCTCTCTGCCTGCTTCTCTGTGATCTCCCTCTGTCAAATAAATAAATAAAATCTTTAAGAAAAAAAAAAAAGAAAATAAAAGAAAGACATTCAGAGGGCCCAGGGGCATTTAGGAAAAAGCAAATTAAAACCACAGTGAGATGCCACCTCCCAGAAAGGCTAAGATGAAAAGTGCATGCTCTCCACTTTCTCTGGAGAAGAAAAAACCCCTGCACTTTCTAAAAGGCTGAGACCATCGTAAGTGCCAATGAGAATAGGAGGGAACCGGAAGTCCCATCAGCAGCAGGCAGAAGTGCAAGGTGGTAGAGCCACGTGGGAAACGGCTGGGTAGGATCTAAAAAGGTGGACCCCTGACCTACCAAGGGATCGAACTGGTTCGTTCCTCGGTTTGCCAGCGACAGACATAAAAACATCAGTCCCTACAAAGATTTTCCCAAGGATCCTCAGGGCAGTCCCACGTTAAGTGATCAGCAAATGAGAGTCAGACTGTCAGTCCCATCCCTGCAGGCTGTGGGACACTCGGGAAGTGGCTGTCTTTCTCAGAGTCTGTTTCTTCTTCTGTTAACATTGCAGGGGGTGATAAGAATTTCCACCTACCGATAAGCACGTGAAAAGGAGCTCTGCCCCCTGTAAACACCCCATAAATGCTGGTTTGTGTGATTAAAAAAAAATGATACCCAATATCATTTGTTATCAGGGAAACAAAAATCAGGACCGCACTGAGACACCATTCCACACCCTCGAGGAGAGCTATCATCAAAAAGACAGAGAGTGCCAAGTGCTGATGAGG